TTGTTTTTTTTAATTTGTAAACTAAACTGTTATGTAATATTGTGTGTGTCTATGCAAATAAAAAATTATTATTATTATTATTAAATTATTATTATATGAATTTATATGTACTGTTTGGAAGAAAATCGAAACTGTGCCGGTGTATCGCTACAACACTAGCCTTAGGGAACATACCCATACTATGTGACCTATTTTTTAATTATTTAACAAGCAAAATTTGAAAAAAAATAATAATTTGGCTCAAACTTTAACTTCGAGCAGCTTCTTTATAGCATAAGACTGCATGCATACTTAATGACTATGTGACTAAAATATGAGCCACCCCCCGGCTCCAGTGACTGACCGTAGTATTTTAAGGACTCCGCCCCCCCCCTTAAACGGGTCACGTAGTATGGGTACATTCCCTTATTTAAATATCGATGTTTATGTCCCCTCACTAATTGATGACACTTGACTTGGTAATGAAAGCGCATCATTCACTCTTAAAGATTCTAACTAATATTGTCTAAATGTATATAATATAAAATCAAAATACAAAACTTACTACACATCAAAATATCTGCACTTCATAACATCTGGCCATAAAGTCTCCTTTACTTCAATTTCAGTGCACATTTTCAAGTCAATGCTCTTGTCATTAATACTTGTATTTAATTCAGGATTCTCCATATTACTATTATAAGATTTCTTTGTATTTACATTGGAAGAATTTTCTTGTATTTCATCAGATTCAGTAGAAGTTGTTGGAATGTGGACAAAAGAAACCTTCTTGGTTGGTGTCATTGAATTAACTTCCAAAGTGTTGATTTTATTGTCATCATTAAAGGCAGGAAGGAAGCAGTAATACTTTTTAAGCATTTCTGTGACATCTGTTTTTAATGTTGTCACTGATGGAGGTGGTAAAATTCCTTGAAGAGTCTCCTAGAAAAGAAACATAATATTAAAATGTCTTATTGAGAATTATAGGTTATAATATATTTTAGAATTAATATTCTATGCTTATGCTTTGTTATATAAAATGTGAGGTGGGAGTGTAAATTTTCAGTCTTCATTAAGGATAGTATATTTTCCTTAAAAGATAATATATGTAATAAAAACCTACTATTACAGATAATAATAATTTGTGATCCACAGATAGCAACATATAAAGATAAATAAAATACCAATTTTTTATCCAAGTTGACCTATTTTGTTTTAATAATAACATTAAAGTATTATAAACAGGATTACCTCAATTTTCCTAACTTTCTTTTTGTCATAAGTTTCAAAATCTTTAATAAAA